CACTCCCTCAAAGGAGACCTGCAGGCTTCTTTACACTTGAGTTTTCTAGACTCTCAGGGTCCACTGTAGGAAAGGATGGTGGCTTGAGAACTTACAGGCTGTGTTCACTGCAGGCACCCTTACCCACACAAGGGCAGGGGACAGGGTCAAGGCTATACCACATGATCCAATCATTCCAACTGCTAAGTAAATTGATTTTTCTGCCTGGCTATCTGGTGGGTTATTTTTTGCTTTTACTTTTGGGAAGGGGGTTCTAATTTACATAGCTAATTCTAAGGTCTTAGGATTTGAAAATAAAAAGGCATTCTCAAACCAGTTCTTGCTGGAGATGTGGCTCACTGGTAGAATGCTGGTTTAGCTTGCCTAAGGCCACAGGCTCCAATAGCAGCACCACAGCAAAAATAAAACAAAAAACAAAAGCAATCAAATCAGTTCTTAAAACGAAGTCTAAAGGGGACTGGGAGATGGTTCAGTGGGGAAAGTGTTCACTGCACAAGGAGTTTGTATTCCCAGGACCCAGGTAAAAGCCAAGAGCGGTAAGCCAAGCAGTAAAGGTGCAGTGGCGCACACCTTTAATTCCAGCATTCTGAAGGCAGAGGCAGGTGGATCTCTGTGAGTAGCAGGCCTGGTCTCCATTGTGAGGTCCAGGACAGCTGGAGTTATTCAATAAGACATTATAAAACAAACAAACAAAGAGCTGGTAACAGTATCTGACACTAGTGCTAGGCACAAGACAGGAGAATTTGAGGGGACTGCTGGGTAATTAATTGACTAGATTTCAGAAACACTGTGGACAGCAATAGATGAAGAAACAATGCTGTGCATGCACAGGAGATTGTGCTCACACATGCATACACACATGCATTCTGATGCCTAGAACTTGTTTCAAAGTGACCTATGGAAAGAGGTGACACGGGGAAAGATGCAGATGAAGTAGTGCAGGCTGGGAATGGATAATAGTATCAATGGTGATTGGTACCTCTTTAAAATTCTCCATCACAGAGGTATAAAAAACAAACAAATGAACCCAGAAACTTGCTAATGGTTAGCTTTACTTCATCTAAGCCTCCTTTTAAAAACTACCAAGAAATCCTGTCTCTTCTAATGTTCTGCTCTCCACACCTGATGATTTATAGCAGAGGTATAGGTGAGGGCAGTGCTGTGGCAGGAAGGGTGGCAAACTTGATGGGGTGAGAGCCCAGGGCATGTAGCCCAAGGGCTTCTTGAGTATCTGACATCAGGCCTAGGACTTGGTCCTGGCGTCCCAGGAGAGCAGGTGGGTATGGCAAGCCACAGTGTGTTTCACTGGGGACTACTATGCTTATGCACAGGCCCTGTGGATGGAACAGACACAGAAATCAATAGCCATAAACAAATGTAGGGAAGCTATGGCCTTGTGTAGAACAGGAAGGCAGCCAGCCAACAACTTTCTTCAAATTGTGTCTCTTTGTCCACTTTGTCCTGTAACTACCCAAACTTCAGGAGCAGGAGACACCCAAGTGGAGAAGCTTGGGTATCCATAATAAGAAAGGGAAAGGCTGTGTCTGTAGCGTACAGACAGGCCATCCCCCAGACTTTCCTTCATAATTGAACTACAGAGTGACTCCTAAAAGTGGAAACGTGTCGAGTCCAGTGGTGAGCCACTGTTCTAAACAGTTAGCTTCTTCCAGGAAAGAAACACTAGAAATGGGGTAAATGAGCCAAATGGGGGTGCTGCACCCCTCTAATCCCAGAACTTGGGAGGCTGAAGCAGGAGGATTGAAAGTTCCACGTCAAACAAAGTCACATACATGGTGAGATCCTAACTCAGAAAAGTAACTAGGCGGATCTCTGTGAGTTCGAGGCCAGCCTGGTCTACAGAGCAAGTTCCAGGTCAGGCTCCAATACGGAGAAACCCTGTCTCAGGGAAAAAAAAAAAAAAAAAGTAACTAAACAAATATCCCACTAAGTACTTAAAAACACAGAGACATGAAAATGAAGAGTTAATGTAAATCTATTTGAAGGTTATTACAAATAATACCCTAAAATATAACCCACATCCTAACCTTGTGTATACAAATTAAGGTCCTTTTAAAGCAATAAAGGATTGGAAAGGGAGATCCAGAGAGCTGTCATCTTCTACTGTCCTTGGTGAGAGCCAATTTGTTGGACCAGCTTGACTCCACTTCAAGCCATGAGGTAAGGGGTGAAAAAACAATTTGTGGATTTGGCCAAAGTGTCTACAAGAAGAAATAAAAACACACCCAGGACTTTGTGGAATTATAAACCCTGGGGTCTAATCCTGGCTTCTGAACACTGTGTCTGGTCGGGGCTCCCATGAAGCAACTTTTCCTTCGCTTCAGGCAGATCTGAGTTGGTTTTTTTCTTCCTCATAATAATCTCCCAGCAAGAGAAGAAATTACGATTGATTCATTTTTGCTGAATGCTTAAAAATAAAATCTCTTCTAACTATAATTATGCTTCAGTTCCAGCCAACACAATTTTGACTAGCGGCCTATCTCAGCCCTCTTCCCTCTTCCCAGAGCTTGTGAAAAGCACAAAATGACATGGTCTCACACACCTTTCTGTAACATAAGTATTCAGCATATACTCCTCAGGATCTAGCAGCCTCACTGGGAATGCTGCTGGGGCCTGCTTGCCTAGCTCCTTCCTTCTGCACATTAGTGACAACCCCTCCAGTGGGAGCCTCTACTGGGAAACAGCTTTGGGGTGCAAGGAATTGGAGCTCACACTGGAAGCAGCCTGGACTCTGCAGCTCACCTCCTACTCCAGGGCTCCCTAGGAGACTGAGCTGAAGGAAACTCCAGTCTAAACCACAACCTTCACAGACCCTTCCCCCTCCCTCCACCCCCATCCCCTCCATCTGAAAGCAGTTCCTCATTAAAGCACCTCAAGAGAGCCCCCACTCACACTCCACTTTAGGGACCTGAGCTATGACTTTCAAGAATCCCATGGAAGCAAAGTGAACCGAGCATATGTCATTAGTTTGTTGTGCTTCGGTGACTATAGATCAAGGCAATTCCATCAGACTCTGGATACCATGGAGGCAGCAAGCTAGCATCTACTCAAGCTCAAATCTCCTGCTGAAGCATCCAAGGTCATGAACAAATAGGCTTCCCACCCAGGCTCATTTCCCAAGGCAATCTAGGGACCATCTTCACAAAACTAGTTGTCCATCCCTGACCATTCAGAGAAAGGGTTGTCCATTTCTGTTCTAGGACAAAGGTGTTCTTCCCCTAGTACTGTGTAGCCCAGGACAAGGCTAGCTGACTTTGTGTTCATTTCTCTTTGACATCCAATATTCTGAATCCCACTGAACTGAACAGAAAAGAAAACCTCAGGTTAGAATTCAAGAGAGTTCTGTCTATCCCTGATGGTGCAAGGAGGTCAATTCATAGTATGCCTAAAAGAACATCGTTCATTTATCATTTGTTTCAAGAATTGTAAGCACAGGGCTTGAGAGATAGCTCAGCTGATAAAATAGTTGCATTGAGGACGTGAGCTCAATCCTCCAGAACCCAAATTAAGAAAAAAAAAAAATATCCAGGAGGGTCCTTGGGGCTCGATTGACAGCCAGCCTAGCCTATTTGCTGAGATCTAAGCCAATGAGAGACCTTGTCTCAAAAAACAGTGAATAAGCACTTGAAGAACTACTCCAAGGTTGCCTAGTGGATACACACATGAACACATGTAAAACCACATAAACACACACACAGATACATACACACATACAAAGAATTAAAAATATAAACCAGTCAACCAATCAGCCAGAAGAACCCAGCTCTGCTTGCCCAGGGAAGCAGACTCCTGCCTGAACCAGTTTCCTGGTTGTCCTCCTATAAACTCATCTTGTCCTGGTTCCCATACAGCCCCGGTCTTGGGCCAAGACAGAGGCAAGCTAAGGATGGAGAGTGTCTCACATGGGGAAGAGTGTGTCTTCCCTAAGCTCCCTTTCTGTAGATTTGCTTGTTGCCCCTGACCTACCTCACCTTTTAATTGGGGGGGGGGCTGTCCTCCAAGACTTTGTATGAGCACCCATATTGACTGTTCCTCCAGTTTTCCTGATAGCAGAACGGTGGGCAACCCACACTGGTGACCAATCACCAGCCTTTGCCAAATGTTCTTGCCTACAATGTCATTGAGATCCATTTTTCTGCTTTTCTTCTTAAAGACTTGGTCTCACTACGTTGACTAAGCTGCCTAAACTCTTAGGCTAAAGTAATTTTCCTGCCTTAGCTCCCAACAGTAGGGACTATGGGATACAGCATGGTGCCCAGTTCTTGCAACTTAAAGAAAAGTATTTATTTGATTGTTTGTTTATTGGGTAGACATGTCAGAGCATGAACATGGAGGTAAGAGGACAACCTGGAAGAGTTAATTCTCTCCTGTCACATGGGTTCCAGTGACAGAACTCAGGTAGTCGGACTTGGCAGCAAGTGCCTCTGCTACTGAGCCATCTCTTGCAACTTTCAAAAAGCACTATCTTGCTTTAAAATTAAAGCAAGTTAGCAATAGTGGGAGAGCATCAAGTTCACAGCTGCAGAGACAGGGCGATGCCATAAAAACATTGGATTCCAAATCCCAGACAGCTTCCTCCACACTGCGCCTCCCATTTAAAGTCTCAGGTGCAGACGCTACTGAGGGCTGGAAATGCAGCTCAGCGGCACAGCACATCACTCTCCATGGAAGAGGCCTTGGGTTCAGGTCCAAGTACCAAAAAGTAAGAAAATAAACAAATCCTTGAAAAGGTGATAAGAACACCTACTTCATAAAAGTATTGTAAGGAATGAAAAACAATGACATATGGAAACTTCCCCCTTCTCTGTTTATCCTAGGAGTCTGTCTTGTTTTCAACAGCTGAGAATTCTGGGAGAAAATGTTGAGAGGGCTCAAGCTCCTTTGGATCCACAAGGTCTTGAGAACAGTATCCAGTTCAGGGGAGTTTGAAACAGGCCTGAGCACACCAGGCACAGAGGTGACAGTGCACAGCAGTTGCCTACCTGGTGGTCGTCCGGATGGTGTTTTCCTTCGTGTGATTGTGTTCTTTGCTCACTTTTTCTGTAAGGAGACAGAATGAAACACATGCCTTCGGTTCAGCTCAGTCCACTTCCATCGTTTAGGCAAAAGCACCCAGTTTCTATCTTATTGGGGAAGTCAAAGCATCTAGACATATCCACAAAACTATTAAACACTGACCAGACAGAACTAGTGAGTTAAGTTTGGTTGCTGCCTGGTTGTAACTAGGCCTCAGTAAGTATGAGTACATACCACACACCCAAACACGCACACGTTAGGTGCACAGAAACAGTTGTTTCTACCCAACCTTTCTCAGGTGATTTCTGTTTTCCTCAATTAGGCCCTCCAACTGCAGTTGTGGTAACTGTCCTGTCCCTAGCGCTGATGACAGCCTGTGTTGTTAGGCTCCTTCAGAGAACGGCCAGAGAGCTCTTGGTGCTGTCATGGACTGCATATTCTAATAAATGTCAGCAGGAACAGAACAATGCCATTAGACAAGAGGTAAGCCCTCTCCTCATGCATCCTGGGGTCTGCATCCACCAGCTGTCAGGAGTTATTTAATTAGCTTTCAAGAACACCAAGTTGAACCATAGCCTCGCTGACCCAGTACAAATGTGAGGACTCTGCCCTGACCACCACAGCTCTCGATAGCTTCTTTGAAGCATTTGCCAAAAACCTGGCCAACCTATAGGGGTTTTAGAATTTACAACCAGGTAAATAAAATAAAAAAATCTCATCTTGAAGAAGACTTTTTGCAAAATGTAAGCAAGGTTTATACATCTTTCCTACCTGTCTTTGACTGTTTACATGGACACCTATTTCTCTCCTTTCAACTGTGACACCAGGGAGAATTTGGTTTGCTTGTCAGAATCCATGGTTGCTAGCCAGCATGCAACCTGGGCAGGATGACTTGTCTGGGGTCATCCAGGCTGTGAGTGTGTCAGGGTGAGACCTTCAGAGCTACACAGAACTGCCTGGCCTCAGCTGATCTATGTTGAGGTGTGCCTTGTTTGGCCTTGGGAAAAGGAACACCACTAGTCAAGACCTCCATCACTGCAGAGAATCACAGTGTCATCTGAGAGCCACACCGCTGTAGAGGCGTCACCAGGCCAAGGAGAAGCTGACCTGTCGGGTGGTACAGACTTCAGTCTTTTTCCTGTCTGTGTCTAAGGGGTAGGACAAGTGTCCTATGTAACAGGGATGTAGGTGTGTCTACTCTATCAAACTTCAAACTTCAGGAAGACCCAGAAGAGGGGTTGTGTGTGTGTCTGCCAGAATACCAGTCTTGTAATTACACAAAACCAGTATTCACTTTCAAGAAGTAGCTGCATAACATAATGGTAGAAGCTTGGGAGAGCAGACAGAAGGCACAACTCAGGTACCTGGCCCCTTCACATGACTGAATACCTGCACATCTGGATTCCAGGCATTTGAAGGAAGAAAGACTGATCTACAAAGACAACCTCTTAGACTACAGCTGGAGACAGCCTTCATGCTTCTACTTTTTGCTTTTCTCTTTTTTAATTTTTTTGGCATGATATAATAAAAATTTCATTAATTCAGACAACATGATTTTCCCCAGCAATGCAGGCTCTCTTGGAGGATGTAGAAATTTATCTTTTGCACATTAGAAAGAAAAGGCTGTTAATAAGATCAGCACTAAACCTTCCCAGAGGTATAGGCTTGAGCCTGGTCAAAGGGAACATCAGAGAACTGCACAGAATTCTAATTCCCAACCATGTTAAGGCCGATGTGGAGCAGGTGAGAGGGCTCAGCAGTTAAAGGGACTTGCTGCCAAGTATGATGATCTGAATTCAATCTCTGGGATCCATGTGGTGGGAGGAGAGAAGCAATTCTCAAAAGTTGTCATCTGACCTCTACATAAATAAAATCCTAACAACAATTATTTTTAAATGAGGTAGGAATCAAATTTGGCAAAACCTCATTAACCATTAATGTGGTATTTACAAAACAGGTCCTTCCAAAACACCCTGTCACGTGGGTTTCTTGTCCCTTCCCAAGAAGGGCTTTATAGCCAATGCTTCCCAGTCATCAACGTTCCCCACAATTCACCTTACCCATAGTTCACCTACCTGAGAGCTGAAAAAGAAGCTCAGAAGCCATCTTCACAGAGATGTCCTGGCTGAAGAGATTTCTCTCCGGGGGAACTCTACCTTCTGGAAGCTTCTGTAAGGGTTCAATTTTCTCTCGCCCCATTAAAGTGCTGTAGCCAATGTTCCGGCTGGGTGATATGGAGACTGGGGAGTCCTGGGTGTCCACCTCCATGGGTTCTTCCTTAACCTTCACTGCCTGAGTCTCCTTGTAGCTTTCCGCTGCAAGCAGGTGGGTGAGAGAAACCAGAGCCATTCTTCATTCTGAAGCAAACCCAGTCTCTGTTGTCTTTTTGTCTTTCTGTTGGGCTGGGGCTTTAACCCAGGGCCCAGTGCATGCCAGGGACGCACATACTCCACCCTGAGGTGTATCCCCAACCTACGCAGTTGCTAATCACAAAGAAAGCCATGAGGCTTGTGTTAGAGAAGGGTCTTTAAGAGTGACTGCCATGGGACACTAGCACAGTGTGAAACTATTGGTTCCACCCACCTGGCTTCCAGAAATGGCAGGAAACTTGATGGCCTGAGAAATGAAGTGGCCCACCCAAGGTAGCAGAATTAACAGCCTGGCTGCCTAGAACCTCAGCTTCTTGGTGAGGGGTTCCCTAAATAACCCTGTGGGTACCCTCCTCTGCCCCATGCTGATTCCAAACAGGGTGCAGCCAGCAACTGTCCTGGCTTTACAGCTCAGTCGGTTTTGTTGAGTCAGATAAGAGCAAGCTTATTAATATTCCAAATTCTTCCCTGTCTCTAAAGCCCGCATCAATTGTTTTTTTTTCTCTCTAAGAAAGCATCTAAGTTAACAAAGGTCAAACGGGGTCTATTCAATGGAGGCATGTTTACCTTGCTGGGAACTAACTGAGACCATTTCTCAAGTTAACTGAAGCCCAAATGAACACCTAGGAAGACAGCTGTCTCAACACCCAGAACGACAGCCCAGCTCACAGCTGCTCTTCCTCAAGATGTCTAGGTAGTCTGAAATTAATTCGAAACATGAATTTGCTTGGTGAGGCTGAGTGTCTATGGCCACGCACTCATCATGCACTCGTTTGAGCTAAGCACAGGACATGTCTGGACCAAGGTAGGTTGGTTCATCCAGGCATGAATTTGAGCCATTTAAAAAGTCACATTTTTAAATCAGTAAACATTTATTAGTAACTACTGAGTACACAGCAACCTGGAAGACAGAAATCAAAGATGACTGGGACAAACAGCTAAAAGATAGACAGGCAATGGGCCAGGGAGTTGAGCGGTAACCCTCAACAAGGCATGCCTGCATCCTAACCAGGAGAACCTGTGAACATGGTCCTGTCTAGGGAAAGCAATCAATTCACAGGTGTGACTAAGGATCTCAAGATGAAGATTTTGTGGATAGCCCAAGAGGACCCTAGAGCCAGTGACAAGAGTCCTTCTTAGACACGAGAAAGAACAAAGATGGAGTCAAGAAAGACTGGAGTTGCACTGCAACAGGCCAAAGAGCTGCACAAAGCCAGACAAGGCAAGGCAAGGACCTCCTCCTACAGCTTTTGGTAGGAATGAAAACACCTGAACCAGGTTATAACAACAACAAGAAGCTACCAAGTGTCTCAATGTGTCACACAGTTTCACAGTAGAGTTGGAAAATGCACAGAACAGACAACTGACACAGTCTCATCAGGCCCTGACTTCTGACTGACTGTGTAGTGTCTGACACACACAGTCTCAGCAGGCACTGACTCCTGACTGACTGTGCAGTGTCTGACACACATAGTCTCAGCAGGCACTGACTCCTGACTGATAGCAGTGACTGACACACACAGTCTCAGCAGGCACTGACTCCTGACTGACTCTGCAGTGACTGACACCCAGTCTCAGCAGGCACTGACTCCTGTCTGATAGCAGTGACTGACACACACAGTCTCAGCAGGCACTGACTCCTGACTGACTGTGCAGTGTCTGATACACACAGTCTCAGCAGGCACTGACTCCTGATTGACTGTGCAGTGACTGACACCCAGTCTCAGCAGGCACTGACTCCTGACTGACTGTGCAGTGTCTGACACACACAGTCTCGGCAGGCACTGACTCCTGACTGACTGTGCAGTGACTGACACACACAGTCTCAGCAGGCACTGACTCCTGACTGACTGTGCAGTGACTCACACAGTCTCAGCAGGCACAGACTCCTGACTGTGTAGTGGGGAGGACAGCATCAATGCTGTAAATTTCTGGTCAAGAGACAGTGCTTTCCTTTCGAGCCAGGCAGGGATGAAAGTCAAATAAATGCCGATGTAGAACACTGACCAGCAGTTAAAAGCAAACAGACAAAGAAACAAACAGTAGAAGAGCACTTCAAATTAAACAATTACAATTAATCAGCTGCTACCAATATAAGCTTACCACAAGAGTGCTAATTTTTTGTGTCTCTTCCTAACGTATTACACACGATTCTCTTGAAAAAACTGCTTATTTTTTGTCAACAGCTGAACTTTGGGACAATAGGATATTATATCTAAATTGTTCCCCCTTCCCCTCTTCCTACCAAACTGTTTTCCCCCTCTGTATATCTAAGCAGCTCATAAAAACTGAGTTCACTGATTCGGTCAGGCATGAAAAGGAGAAAGTGGAGAAAGAAAAGGAGGGAGAGAGAGGAATGAAGAGGAGGGGAATAGAAGGATGGGGAGAGAGAAACAGGAGGAGGGAGAGAGAGGAATGAGGAGGAAGGGAATTGAAGGATGAGGAAAGAGAATCCAAGAGGAGGGAAAGAGAGGAATGAAGAGGGGGGGAATAGACGGATGGGGAGAGAGAGAGAAACCAGGAGGAGGATGAGGGAGGGCATGAGAAGACCTGAAAGCTTTTACAGTTATAGATCAGATGCTCTCTGGGGTGCTGGCTTCCCACCCTAGGGATCTGATGACCCTAACAGACATCCTAACCTCCAGCTGGACAATCTGCTCACATGAGTAATCACAGCACACATTTTCTTCTTCATGTCCCCTGAAGTATTCAATATGTAGAAACTAAGCAGTGAGCTCAGTGTCACAGTTTCATACAGGATGGCTCTGACCTTCACACTGGAAAGTCACTCCGGAGCCTGAAGACACACAGAGGAACACCAGGACAAACACAATGAGACCGACTTAAAAAGAAAAATCTCAACACCATAAACAGCGGAATTGGAAAACGTTCCACAGTGTATCCATCCATTTACTCCTCTACCCTCAGGTCCCATCTTTGACCTGGAATTAAAAGTCATGTGACTGTCTGCACCCAGACTTGAATGGAACAACTAGTTTTTCAGAATGACTGGGGTGGTTTCCAGTATGATCTGCATAGAAGAGCTTTCTGTCCTTGTAACAACCTTTTCAAAGTGCACAACACACTGACCTCTGGTTAAAACCTTCGGCATCCTTAATCTCCTTGATGGATCCCAGATGTGCAGAGAGCAGTCCAAACTGACAGCTCAGTGAGCAAGTCCAACAACACAATCAGTACTGAAATCTTTTTCACGAAATTTCATCAAAAGTTTCCTAGACTTTATTTTGTGGGTGGGTATTTTGCCTACATGTAAGTGTGTGTTCTGTGTGTGTGCCTGGTGCTGATGGAGGTCAGAGAGAATGTCTGAGCCCCTGACACTGGCACTGTAGGGGTTATGAACTGCCATGTTCATTCATGGGTGCTGGGTCCTCTTCAAGAGCAGTGAGTGTTCCTTCCTGCTGATCCACATCTCCATCCCACTCCTCTGTCTCAGCTCTTGTGGCAGTGTGATCTCTGCTGTGCTGTGCTGTGATCTAGGTACCAGCAGCACTGGACTTGGCCTTTAACAACCAAAAATGACCCCTGAAGCTGAGAAGACTGCTCAGTTGGCAAAGTGCCTGCTGTGGCAGGCATGAGAACAGGAGTTAAGATTCTTAGCACCCATGTCACAGTCAAACATGGTAGCATGGATCTGATACCAACAGAGTCAGGGAGGAGAAACAGCCAAATTGATGCGTTCCATATTCAGTGGTAGCCCCTGTCCCAAAATCTAAGGTGGAACCAGGCAGGCATGGAAGTTCACACCTTTTAATGCAGTACTTTGGAGGCAGGGACAGATGGATCTTTGTGAGTTCAAGGCCAGCCTGATCTACATAGTGAGTTCCAGGACAGTCAGAGCTACATAGTGAGACCATGTCTCACAAATATCAAAACATGAGAGTGTGCCCACCCCTGACACTGCCTGGAGTGCCAGAAGCCAGAGGCTGGATGGCACAGAGACCTAGGATAGAACCAAACATGACTGGGAAGAAAAGTCAATGAAATATTCCTACTGAAATATATTCTGCTATGCTCATAGACTGGGGCCTATCGTAATCATCATCACAGAGGCTTCACCCGGCAACTGATGGGAGCAGATGCAGAGACCCACAGCCAAACATAGGCAGAGCCAAGGCAACCCCACAGAAGAAGGGGAGGAAGGACTGTAGGAGCCAGAAGGGTCAAGGACACAAAAATGCAGGTCACAGAATCAACTAAGCAGGGCTCATAGGGCCTCACAGAGACTGAAGTGACAACCATGGAACCTGTGTATGTCTAAGTTATGTCTTCTGCATCTATGTTATGGTTGTGTAGCTTGGTGTTCTTGTGGGACTCCTAACAGTGGGAGTGGGGGTGTCTCTGATTCTTTCACCCTCTTGGGACCTTTTTCCTCCTACTGGGTTGCCTCATTCAGACTTGATATGAGCTATGTGCCTGGTGTTAGTGTAACTTGTTATGCCATGTTTGGTACCTGGGAGGTCTGCTCTTTTCTGAAGGGAAACAGAAGGAACAGATCTGGGGGAGAGAGGAGTTGAGGGGGAAGGGCCTGGGAAGACTGGAGAAGGGGAAACTGCAGTTAGGATGAGTGAAGAATAAGTAACTAAGTACCTAAATAGAAAGAAAGAGAGAGATAAATGTACCTTATGACTATGAAAAAACCCAGAATATCATAAATAAATAAAGGAGAGACGGTCAGATTGCAGATCAACTTCTGGCCTCCACACATGCACACACAGAGAGACAGACAGATGGACACACAAGCAGACAGACACAGGCAGGTAGGCATGGCCCTGATAACACGGCCCATTTTTCTTGGGGAGGGACAAACAATCTCCCTGGTAGAAAGTCACTCTTCTGAAATTTCTACCACATTCTATTTTTCACTTAACAACAACAACAACAACAAAATTAAAACTTCAGCTGGGCATGGTGATGCACACTTTTAA